CTCTTCGTGTGAGAAGAGGCTTTACTCAGTAGTGGGCATTTATAGGCTGTTGATGGATGAAGTACCTACTAAATGAGGTATCATTTCAGAAAGATTGGCGCAATATTACGTGATATTTACATGAATAGATTGTATGTGTGGAGGGTGTGTCACACAACGATCGTATCAATCCATACTAAGCGGATAGTGATTGATATGAATACAATTTAATTCACGAACAGCCTGCTTATCGTGCAAGCGTTTATTATTGTTCTATCTTTATTTCGCCGTAAATTGTAAGTGGATCTACGTTTATTTGTGGAAAATGCCAGAAATGTTGACAGGGTGACTGATATTGTATCGATATTTTGAATTGGCGCCTGTTGAAGAGATAGCCGGGGGTTTTCGTCTGTTTCGTAGGAGTTAAAGTCCTTTTTAGTAGGAGATCAGATTATCACTACTTATTATAAGAACTTTATTGTCTTTATGTATTGGGAAGTGTAAATGGTTTTGGGTTTGCGATTGTAGGACTATTTAAACCCATTATTTTTTTAAATAAACTGTTCTAATATTATGATTACGATCGAACCTAAATTAACTAAAATTCGCGGATTATTCACGTGATTAACCCGCGATTTTTACCTAATTTAGTATGTCTCACGATAGTTATTGTAAAAACACGATCGAACCTGACAACAAATGAATAAATTATACATTTTATCGCTATGAAATAATATCTGATGCACGGTACAGTCACGACTGATTACAATGACTGGTCATATCCTACACGTGGGTAGGAAAGTCCAAACTGAACATATTTATTCATTATTTTGTTACTAGGCTAACTATAGGAGTAGAACATTATTGTCATGTGTCTTTTCGGACACTGAAACTTATTGGTTTTTATCACATATATATTATAACTGTGAAAATATCTTTGTTTGGATGTTTTTCAATCACGCTGAAACTACTGAACGGATTTTGATGAAATTTTTGGTATACGAGCAGGGTATGGGCTGACTTAGGTGATATGATACTTTTGTCCCGATTAAATGCTTCCATGGGATAAATCAGGAATCATATTCTATGCATACGAAGTCGCGGGCAACTGATAGTTTATTATATATTACGATTCAGTAATTCACAAATTATTATTTAGCTACAGTGATTTCATTAAAAAATATCTTGACACTGTCCCATGGTCGGGCAATTCGCAAAACGCGTAAGTATTTGGTTTTGCTACGACGCCGACGAAGAGAGTTCTGATATGAGAGGAATCAAGAGATTGTGGAATCAGTAGATTGTAGCACTACGCGTTGATGGCGCTAAGATACGTTTGTAAATAGTTTTTATTGTGAAAAGTGCATTATAGAATTCTAATTTTACTTATTGTATGTAATAAACTAAAAATGAAATGATGCGACGTGAAATTACGACTGTTCTTTCCGGATAAGGTATATAGTAAATATAGTCAGGAAAGGAAAAGCCTTAAGCCTGCTTGTTTTAGTGTGGGAGAGCCGTGCTTCGCCACGAATGGGCCGGCTCGACCGGAGTGATACCACGGCCTCACAGAAAACCGCCGTGATGCAACGCTTGTGTTGTATTTCGTCGTGTGAGTGAGGTTACCGGAGGCCCAATTACCCTCCCCTTCCCCAATCTCCCCAATTCCTGAATCCCAACGATCCTCAAACTCGTAATCCCCAAAAGGTCGGTAACGCACTTGTAACGCCTCTGGTGTTCCAGGTGTCCATGGGGGACGCCGAATGCTTACCATCAGGTGATCCGTCTGTTCGTTTACCGGCTTATGCCACAAAAAAGCTGTTTTTTACTGAAAAGTTCAGGTCATTTTATAACAACATTAAAGAACTCTAAGCTACGGTTTATGACATCTTATTTCAGTTCTTAGAACTCTCAAAAAGATTCACAACATCAATAGATACAAATAACTTACTAGTTTCTTGGTACGTAAAATGAAAGGAAACCCGACACAGTACAAAGTAGAGATAGGTCATGTGAGTACTGACAATGGCAGTGACTTCTAAAGTCACCGGTGACTCTAATTTGTGGCAGTTCAGACCAGTTCACGCTAGAACTGCTCATTCAAATGGAGAGGTCGAGTCTCCAAGGGCCGCGCAGGGTCAATATCTCGTGACTTGTATGAAGGTAGGATGGGCCATCACTTCCTGAAAGTTGTTTGGATCGTGAAATTGATTCTGGGAACAATTTGTAGTAGGCTAACTAGGGGGAATATTACCTACGCACGAATTTGGATGGTAAAAATGTCCGTTCAGTATCTATCTAAAATCTGATATGACTATGAAAAACTTTGGCAATTAATTAATTCGGATATTTGAATTAGAAAAATATCTTTCAAACATCTTGAATTGTAATCGGTTTAGTGACTTCAGGAAATTGTTTGTTATCTACTTTAAGGTTAAGCATTGCCATTCAACGTGGCAATGCTGCCAGTCTTTTGGGCACCCTACCTCGCGGTAGCGATGAGGAAAATGTTTTCTTTGATGCATTATGATTTTTTTTAAGGTGTAAATATTTTAGTTTTAAATTATTTTTTTTATATTTTTAGTTGTATAGATTAGTAGTCGCAAAGTAGTACTTTAATGTTTTGAATACATTTGACCGTGAGGCTAGTATACATGTAAGCTATTTCATCGTTCTTTGAAGTCAGTTTAACTAGAAATCAATTGATTTTTTTAAAGGGGGAAAATCATCGAATGACTTCTCCCGCCTGGGTGAGGGAGTGTCAGACTCTTACTGACTAAAAACCATCCGTTCCTTCTTCGGCACGTCGAGCCAGAGCCCCGGTGACCCGTTAGGTTCTCCGCGACAAATCAATTGATTACTTGCTCTTTTTCATTGAGAAAACGTTGTGTTATTTAAACAAAGTAGATACTAAGCTACACTAATCATTCGCATAAAGACTAGGCTCGCAGACAGTAACAGGAAGTATTTAGTTAGGAGACAAGTCTATCGCGTCTGGTCGTTTAATTAACCAAACAAATCACGCCATCTTGTCGGGAAAATGAAATCTTTTCTACGAATCGTTTAGATGAATGACCTAGCTTCAAGTAAGTAATTGGACATTTTATTATTTAGTTGTGTAAAGACCACGTTGTTTAAAACATAATATTGAAATCGAAAATCTGTTTGTTTTGGAACAACTTAAGCAGCGCTTCAGCTCTCAAAAAGGTGTACTTAGTTTTGTTTTTTGAAAGTTTTATCTGACATGCAACTTAGTACTCAGAGTAGTGCATAGCATAACATAACATCACGCCTTTTATCCCCGAACGGGTAGGTAGAGATGCACATTACGGCTCTTAATGCCACTGTACAATGTAACACCCACTTTTCACTATTTATGTTACGAGTTCCATGTAATAGGGGGTGAGCCTAATGCCATATACCGGGCACATTTCCAGACTCTGTACTACTACTGAGGTTTTTACAAACCCAGTAATACTTTGCCCGATCCGGGAATCGAACCCGAGATCCCTTGCCCAGCAGTTGCACTTGCGACCACTCGGCCAATGAGGCAGTCGCTATGCTTTGCTATTAATAGTGTAATGATTGTTGAAAGGTGTGAATAATACGTAATACTTCATCGACTCATTACCAGTACCTACTTGAACTGTGTTTACTGTATACCGTGACACATTTCTCGGTTGACCTAGGCATTGTAGGCGATATGACCAGTATTAGAAACTCATTTCCTATTACGTTAACTGCCACTTAAGAGCTAGACTTAAAACTAGCTTTGCTGCTGTCATTATTAGGACAACTTTCATGCTTTGGGCATACCTATCTGGTATAAATAGGTCTCTGTCTAGCTTTTTGGAGTAGTTAGCGTGTTATTATAGCGGTCAGAAACCATGTCAGCTATTCAAAATTCGAATGAAAAAATAATTTCAAAATAAGAACGTGTCTTTTTGTTGTCTAATGCAAATAGTGATGTCCCGGTGTTACTAATTGAATGAACTGATTTAGTCGATTTATTAATCGTTTTAACTATAATGAGACCCACGTTTAAAGTTATCGCGTTCTTCCTTGGCCATAACAATGAGTCTCAATACATTGACCTTTCATACACGCGGCAAACAGTTAAGGTATGAAATAGAATTTATCGATAATAAATGGCGCTTTTCATATTAATTTTCTTGGCGTAAACATTGTAACAGAATTTATATTGTAACGTGAGTATTTTACTTGTAAATACGTCAGTTTTATTGCCAATTGTTGTGTTATTAATTTCATGGTGTAAAAACGTGTAGGTACTATATTTTCTTGAATCGATATTTCGAATAGAAATCACGTTTCTTGAACGATCCATTAACAGAACTAGATGTTTTTTTAAAGCAGTTTTTTAAACTTCCGCGCTATAAACGGAAAATGAAGGAAATCGTTTGATGTTTGTGTTAACTGAGCTCTAGATTTTGAATGCATTTTTATAGTCGATTGAAATGTTCACACATAAAACTTTCATTGGTTACCGACCGATATATTTATAATTCATTCCAGTTTTTTTATTAAGTAGTTCCTATGTGGTTATTTAAAAAAAACGTTTTTATTACGTTCCAGTAATGCAGGCTAGTTCGTAAATGTTCAATTATAAACTTTATGATAATTGAATTGTTAAAGAAACTACTTTATTATCTACCTATTAATTAATACTGCATAACAAATATTAAATGCATGCGAATTTTATTGCCCATTATTTTATCAATTTAGACATAAGTTAACTTAATCTTGTTACTTTCTGTAAATACCAAAAAATTATATTTCTTAGTTAAATTCTCTGTCATATTAAGTAGTAATTTGAGGTCTTTGACCTACTTTCCGAAATAACGTTTGTCACACTGCGTCCGTAATTAATATTTAATTACAAAAACTATTAATTTGGTGATAAGGAACGTATTTAAATTCTGCGCCGCTAATTAAAAATTATGATGCACGAAATGTTGAATTTAAAATAAAACAGAAATAAAAAATACAGAAAAAGAACTTACCATTTTAATTGCCATGAGCAAAAATAAATTTGTCCAATGTATTGAATAAATCATACATAAAACACTACTGCACTACGTTCATTTGAAAACTTTTATCACAGTTAGTAACTTTTTAAAAAAATATGTGCACATCACTAAAATTTATTTTTTAATATTTTTGTATCGATTCCATGGCGGGCGCGCGCCGTGCGGGTGCTATGAGCGACTAGTGTTGCCCGCGACGTGCTCCATACTGCACGGGTATCGGCTCGGCCACATAATGAAGCGTCCGATTAGACTGAACCGCTTTATTGGAATTCCATCGAGTTTTCGCTCATCATCGCCTCCAGTAATAAATACATTTGTGAACTAATGAAATGCTTGATAGTTGTAGATAAGCCTACTTTGGTTGATGATGTTAACCAAATAATTGCGACATGTAGTGTGGGTTACATACGTTATCATGCCAGACACGATTTTGGCGGTACATGGAAATTGCAAGGCCAGGGGTAAAACCTGTGAAAATGTTGTTTGTAATTGACAGTGTTCACTGTTAGTAGGTATAATGTACCTACTTTGTTTAATATTATGTATTTGAATAGTTTGAAGTTTAGTAATTTTGTAAATAATTTATTGACTGAAATTACTTAAATGAAGACTTTTTGGAATTAAGGGATTTCTAATTTAATATTTTAGTTTTCTAGATTTATTTCTTAAGTACTTAAATAATCTTGGGAAAAATTATAATTAAATTTGAATTCGCATAAATATCAGTATATTCGAATATTTTATTTTAAAAATATCAGTTACTTCAACCGCTTCTACATGGGTTAGCCAGACACTACATTTTTCTTTGAGAGACTAAAACCACGTGATCGACGGAGGCGGGTATTATCACCACATAAATTGGACACAGACAATGGTACATTAACACCAGCTAGACTGTCGCCACCGGTGCCAGACACATGATACCAGACTCATGGGCTGACCTATTAAACACTACTTAATTTACTAACACATTGATACACATCACTAATTCTATTTAGTCGATGTTGGTTGGCACTCGACTATGATTGGTATTAGAAAGAAAGAAGAAAGAAGAAGAAAGAAAATCATTTATCTATTATGATTTAGGTAGTCAAGTAATTTGATTGATTGGTTTGTTTTTTTAATGCGCTTTTTTATTAGAAGTACCTAGGTTTCTTTTTGTTGTTTGCAAACTTAATTTCTTCTATTTAAATATATATTATTTCAACGACTGCACGGTTGGCGCGGTGGCTGGGCGACCGGCTGACAAAATGTTGTTTAGGGTCTGGGTGTCATGTGTATGTGAACTTGTGTGTGTAAACGTACCCACGACACAGGAGAATATCCCAGCGCGGGGCAACGTTTCAAAAAAATAAAAAAATAAAACAGGTAATATGCCTGATCAGCGAGCACATTCGTAATATAAGTATATTAAGTACCTAGTTACCACTGATTACTGAAATGAGTACCTAAAACCTATTACAGGAATATTTCAGTCAGTGTTAACCTTATCGCGATATGAACAATGAACATTATTACCTAAGTATTGGTAAATTATTTGGTATTTTACGTGTACCATTAGCATTACATTTTCTCATTGAATTTATTGATATAATAAGGTACCTATAATAAGGTATAATATTACATCTATAATAAGGTACCTACAGATACAAAAATAACCAGTGATCTTAAACTATCTTTACTCAGTAGAAAAAAAAATGATTGTATTAAGAGAGCTGGTATTTGATGCGGCGAGTATAATTTAAAATGAAAAAGAGATAGAGCTGGCTAGCTCTCAACAGTATCATTTCCACTCGCTGTGAGCGAAAAGAGACTGGAGTGAGAGTTTAATGGAATGGAGTGAGAGTGAACTTACCGCGAGCAGAGTGGGCAGGGCGCTTGCCATGCGCATAGTCGCAGCGCGGCGGGAGCGCGGGCGGCGCTAAGTGACGGAGGCGGCGGGCGGACGGGCACGCGCGGGCCGCATCCGGCCGCCCTCCGGTGCTCTACCACCGTCGCGACGGCATCGCGCACCTATGGATACGAGAAAACCATACATTATTTTGTAGAAGAAAATATAACTAAATTTCTTAGTAAGACGAACAACAGAAGAGTGCTAACGGATTACGGTAATCCTAAGCAACTAAGGAAATCCTAGGTAGGTAGATATCTAGAAAAAAAAGTAATTCATTTGGGTTTTACTTATATTTCATGATTACTTTCAATTTAATGATATTACATACCTAACGTTAGGGAGGAGTCAATCAAAGGCATAGTAGGGCATCGTAAACAAAAGAACAAAGATGGCGCCGAATGTAACAAGAGCGCATGTGCAAACATGTTAAGGGACATTTAAGCTCCTCCCATAAATTTTCCCTACAGTAGCTGAATGCTATAGATAAATGCATTTCATTTCCATATTTTTTTTATTCAATCAATATTACACAATTGCAATCATTCATCACACTAATCAAATTTTCCTTATAGCCAAAAAAGACGCAAGAATTTAATCGTACTTGCTCAATTACGTCACTGTCAAAATCAAAGTCCAACTCTAGTGTTACAATCTGACGTATGACGTCACACTTCACGCCTCCAGTGATACGTCACAGGATATGTCTGTTGATAACCGTCATAATCTTTATATCAGTGGCGCCAACGTACTGTAGTTAAAATATTTGTCAGATGAATAATTTGATAAACTTATAAGTATTTATCGATAACACAATCTGTGTATAAAAATATTTTCATTCTATCGCTGTTATGTTTTCACTAGAATTTTAATCAGTCATCGCATTTTTTTGTTAGTTTTTTTTTTATTCCGGAACCAGGATCCGGTGGCCCAGTGTAATGGCCGTCATCTAAACAAACAGGATGGTTGACTAGATGGTGTTTGTTATTGCAAGTGTTGCGAATTTGAGTCAACATTCAGCTTATTAGGTATAGTTTTTGGAAACGTGAATAATATCGATGTGGGTAACGCTAATGGACTTTTAAGGCAATTTGCAGTAGGTATATGTAACTTTATCTGTATTAGTTACTTTTTTGAGGTTATGAGTCGATAAGAGTCTGACAGCCCCCTTCGTTCTTCGTAGGTGAAGGGGCTCCACGACGATTTATTTTAGGGTAACAAAAATGTTGGGATTTGGTGATAATGATGAATCTTATCCCTTATCTAAGGATTTTGATGTAATAAACGATAAATAAAGAAGCGATTCAACCTCTTCACAATATGAGCAAAGTAATAAGTTCGTCACAGCTAATTAGGTAATTAGCCAAAAATGGGTTCCAAATAACATTCACACTAATTAAGTATTACTGCTCGTTGGCTGAGTGGTACAAGTGCGACTGCCGGGCAAGGGGTCTCGGGTTCGATTACCGGGACGGGCAAAGTATTCCTGGGTTTTATTAAAAAAAAATCAGAAGAATCACGAAGTCTGGAATTTTGCGCTTTGGCAATAGGCTCACCCTCTATTACATGGGACTCATAACATAAGTAGTGAAAAGTGGGTGTTACATTGCACAGAGTAATAAAGTGCTATAATGTACGCCTTTGCCTACCCTTTCGGGGAAAGAGGCATAATATTATGTTATGTTAGGTAATGTTATGTAATTTAATATTACTTTATTCAACCGTAGGTTTATTTCTAGGTAGTGACAGCGTGATAGTTGGTAGATAATATAATTTCACTCTATGCGCCCTTTTTACAGCATATCGGGGAAAAACTGATGTGATGTTGCAGATTATTTACAGTGATAAGTGGTGCCTTGTGATATTTGTATGATTGTGATAACTTACAATATATAGTTAAGTGATTAACTTATTGATCGATGGGTAGTTGTTCAGGGATTAATTGCAATTCCAGTTATTTATTACAAATAATTGGGAGATTATTATGATAATTGCAGTTCATATGTTTATATTTTATCTTATTAAATATCTTTGTCTGTTTGTCGCAAAACTAAACGCAGTTCATTTCGATTATCTCTCTATTGTTTTTATAAGTTCATATTTTTACTTTTGCATTTTTATATTATAAGCCGGTAAACGAGCAGATGGATCAACTGGTGATGGTAAGCAATTGGTGGCGCCCATGAACACTTGAACCACCAGAGCCATTTTGGGGGTTAGGAATTTAAGGATTGTTGAGGATTCAGAGATTGGGGAGATTGGGGTAGGAGGGGGGATTGGGCAAGCAAGCGTTGTTTCACGTCGGTTTTCTGTGGTATCACATTTTTACACGCATGCATTTTTCCTCTGCGTGGGTACTTAGTCACTTCATTTTGCAATATTAACATTCTAGGATATTCTCCCGCCTTATTTTCAATTTAATACATAAATATTTGAAACTGTCATACACAGCACAGCTGATCGACATGAACACACGAGTACAATTAGGTAATTATTAATAGCAACAGTGAGACATTGTATACAACAAACACGTGTCATAATTACATTTACGGCGTATTTTGTAAAGTAATTAACACGGCAGTAACGTATTTCGCAACTAACAATAAACTTACTGTCGCACTAACTATCGATATATCGATTATTTACGGTCATGTCTGTCTGTTATTCATAAACCAGTAAGGAGTAAATTACTAATCGAGCTTGCTTGTGGAGATCAGATTGCCTACTTTAGAAGAAGGATTTTTAAGATCGTAAGGAAATAATGGCATACAATTATAAAACTTTTTAATAAATACCGTAAGGTGTGAAGTTTAGTCTAGATTCTAGATTAAGTAATGTAGGTCGAAGTATCGTAAACAGGGTTCGAAAGACACTCTACACTACAATATTGTCGGATTTGATGTTTCAGTTTTGATATGTAGATGAATTTTAGTCTTGATTCTTTTGTCCGATTTGCAGAAATGGAGGAAAAGAAAATAAATTCAAAGTGCCATTCTAAACAACGGTTTCATAGAAAACCGACGTGAAACAATACTTGCGTTGTGTTTCGTCGTGCGAGTGAGGTTATCAGAGGCCCAATTACCTATAATTGAGGTGGCCAATCTCCGAATCCCCAATAATCTTCAAATTCCCAATT